CTCATGTAAATCTGGAATAATGGTAGACCAACAGAAAAATTTGTACATCACAGTGATCATTTTCAGCAGAACCAGTCCAAGTTGATTTAAGAATGAGAACAGACCAGCAAATATACTTCACACTTAGTTAATGGGTGAGTGGAACACTGCTCTGAAAATGGTGTCCTGATCAAATTTGGCTTTTTCACACTCCGGTTGAAGGCATTTTGTTATTTAAAGCACATAATGTCAAACTATGACCTACAGTCAGAAATGTTTTAAAACTACTTATAAGCAAAACAAACAAACAAACAAAAAAAAAGCCTCTTTTTCTCCTCTGTGACAAAAGCAAACACTTCCAATCAGCCTATGAGAATCCTAAATTATGCTGCCAGTAACATTTCTTCTGGGTGACAAGAGTCAGAAGCCAAGCAGCTTGCTATTCATCTCAGCCCTACAAAGTGCTCTGTCGAGCTTCATTTCTGTTGGAGTTCACATCCACAAACACCAGTCTGGAGTTTATTTTCATTCCTGATACGCCTGTGTGTTTGGTGGGTTTTGTTTTTTTTTTTTTGGTTGGTTGGTTTTTGGTTTCTTTTTTTTGCTTTAATTTAAGCTGGAAAATACATAGAGAGATAAATATTATTGACTGCTGTGGATACTTACATCGTCTGCGAAGGAACACCAGTGTTTCACATTGATGCTGCTTCACATTCACATGCTCGAATCTATTCTAAATGAACCAAATGCCTCAATAATTGAGTTAAAGCAAGGTTTGACAGCACTGTGAGCAGGAGTCAATGCTACCAACTCTACAGTTTGCTTTTCAAATTAAAGAATAATTGTATCTTCATTTCCAGGGCTTGCCCTTTGTGATATGTGCCTGGGCAGATGAAGTGAAAGAAGATGAGCAGCTGAGTATTAATTAAAACTCAGAAGGAGCCTTTATATGCTGCTGCTTATGGCACTGACAGTTCTTCAATTAAGCACCACAGTTCAGACCCATGAGTTGAGTTTCTCTTTTCATTCTCATGTCAGCCTGCAATAGATTGCACAAACATGCACGTTTGACCAACCAAAGCCAGATAATGTCTAAGACAACGAATTTTTAAAGCAAAAAAATAAGTTTCCCCTTTTCCTCATGCCTTTTTTTTTTTTTTTTTTAAACTGAGTACCCCTGCATCCAGCACATCTGGTGCCCTCTGATCAGATGCATCCTTCCCACAGAGTTAATTTGGATCCCTCACACTAAGCCAGCTGCAGGGCAGCTCTGGCAGCTCCAGCTGGTTGCAGCCCTCTGCCAGCACTCACCCCACATGTAGCCAACAGCACACTGAGGATCATCCTCTCTCCATGTGCATGAACCCACGCTTTGGAGAAGCTCCCCATTGACCCTGCATGATTGCTGACAGGTTTATTTCTCAAAGTAAAGGCTTCCAAACATTTTTTTCCTCTTTCAAATCATTCTTTGCTATTCACTTCTGCAAGGCTTTTCATAATCATCAGAAGAATTAAAGCAGCTGTGCTACGGTTGAGCTTCCCACTTCCCATTCAAATCACCAGGGCTGATGCTGGGAGCACAGAGCACACACTGTAGAGGCAGGAATCAAGCCTGCCCCATACACCATGAGCATCTCCTAGGCTCAGGAACTCCTTCCCAAGTTACCAAAGGTCAACAGATCAGCTTCCACTGAAACAGTATCACAGCATATTTAAATCAGATTCTGACCCAAAGAAACCAGGCTAATTCATGGAAGGGCTCTCCTTGGCATGGAAGGAGTATGCTGTGTGGCTTATGTATAATTAAAAAGTTACTGGATTGACCTTACTTCAAAATGAACACTGATGAAGCATTTTCCTTACTGAAGAATTAAAGGCACCAGCATGAAGGCTGAAGATTTTTTTTCCACCTATTCCTTAAATCATCCCATCTTCAGCATCACTCCCACGCTACACAGAAAGGAATCTGTGGGGATCCCTCCTGACTTCTGCAGAAACACACACAGGAGTGGGAGTTCTGGTTACCTGTAGTGCTTTATCCACAGATTTGCAAGCACTCACAGGTTGCCAGGAAATAACCAAGTGCTGTACTAACTGAGCTTCCCAAAATATTCAACTACACTTGACCAGATACCAATAAAAGCGAGAGTGGGGATGAGTTCTGCTGTTTCTACTGATAAAATGGAGCAGCTGAACACCAGCTATAGCTGTATGAACATGCTATTCCTTCCAGTAGTAAACAACATCCTCAGCGTAGCAGAGAACCAACAAAACTGGTGCAAGGCAACTCCATACAATTCAGCAAAAGTTACACATTCCTGGCCCTAGAAACAAATCACTAACACACTCAAACAGGTTTATTCATTCTGCACAGCTTTTAATAGCTGTCTCTAGAGAAACAAATGCATTTCCTAGATAAACACATAAGATGTAACACTAATTCTATTCTGACAATTTTTAAGTAGAAAATAGAACTGTTACATATTCATCAGACGCAGAACAACTCTAAGTAACATGCCACATCATTGATTTTCATTCTTCTTTTCCCCCTGCAAAAAGAAATACAGTTTTTCAACCCACTTGTTTGTATTTCACCAAAAAAAAAAAAAAAAAAAAAGGTGAAAAGGTGAAAATTAAATACATAATTCAGTGAGTAATAATGTACGTAACGTACTGAAGCGAGGCAGGAGTCCTCTCACTGAAGCCAAGAGAAAGACAACGCGCTTGAAGTTACCTACTTCCCTTACACACTCTGCTGACCCTCTGCAGTACAGAGCACTGCCACACTGCTGCCTGCTCTGCCTCTGCCAGAGGTGGCTGAGCACCACCAGCAGACACAGAGCAGCAGACACTCATCTCACCTACCTGCACAAACACCACACCAGCACTGCACATTACTGTGATAGTCCATGAGAAGGCCCACAGGTGGGACAGAGGAGAAAATATGCACTCCCTTCTGCAGGCAGAGGGGCAGACACTGTGCTAAGGACATCATAGCAGGCAAACGCCATGGTTAAAGGCAGCAGCCACTCTGCAGGTGAGCAGCTGGGTGAAATGAATCACCCTGACAAGAAACCAACGGTCTGCCAGTGCCCTTTGACAAGTGAGAGTATAAAGCTAAGAAGGAACTGTATACAAAGCAAGCGCAGCAGCAGCTAGCCTTCATGAATTCTGTGTAGCAGTTTGCTCAAAGAGCAATCTGCATAGCAAAGATTACAGAGCATTAATCCTGTTTTTTTAAAAGCATATTTAGTGTTTGTACACAATGTTCCATTTACACTGCAAATGCGTATTCTGTACCTGCAGAACTTGAAATGGTTTTGTTGACCCCAAAGAAAGCCAGCTGCAGACAGGGACTCAGTGCTGACATACTGCTCTCCAAAGAATAAGCCGTGCTGAGGTTTACTGCAACTCAACACAAGCAAAACAAAAACAGTGAAATGTTGCTGCCTTTTGAAGGGCATCATAGAAATCTATCTTTTCAACTGCTGAAATGAAAATAAATGCTTTCTCTCACATCAGTATACAGTAACAACCTCTATTATGCATTTCTACTTAAAAGCTTCTTAAGCTCTGAAATGATGTATTTAAGCTAATTGCTTTATGTGCTTAAAGAAAGGCTAGTAAAAATGGCTAGTAAAATCCTCTCCTTACCTTTCTTGCTTTATATATTGGGGTTAAGATATTTTCTTTCATGATTGCCTAAAACGAGTTCATCTACTTCAAAATGTAACAACTGAAATACGCGTTCACCTCTTGTCATTCCTCTTCTAGACCCCCCCCACCCCTGTGTGAACTATAAAATTATGCTCTGAAGCCAATAAAAGTAGTCTGACATCTGTGAAATGATGCATTTTGTTTTTAATGCATACACTCAGCTGCAGATCTGACTTTGAAGTACTTAATTCTGAAAGATCAAAAATAATCGTATGTTCCTGAGAACAAGCACTGAAGCATCCAGGACTACATCTTTCTTAGGAAAAGAGCAGTGTCAGGAATGGGTCAAAAACACCTCTTCATTTTCAGCTCTACTTTCTTACCAGTTTTTCTTGTCCCTTCTCTCCCCTAAGCATCTTTGCTCCACTCTTTCCCACTGCACTCTTGTACCTGGAAAAGAACTCAAGAGAGAATAAGAGCGTTTTAAGGTGAATGTTACAAGCAGCAGATGAATTAATGGGATGCAAATAGGAAAGCCAGGCACAGAGCTGTAACCTAAGACAAACAAATCTGGTAAGAAGGCTATTTTGTAAGCTGCAGAGACGTGTGTGTTTGTGCTACCAATTCTATTGCCTCATTTCTACTCCCACTCTCAGTTACTAATGTCTTCTGGAACAAGCCACACATGCCCTTTTCTAGCATCACTGCACTGTTTTACAGCTCACAACACAGAAAGCAAAGCAATGTGGAAAAGTTAGGGAGAGGATGCTGATTTGCTTTGACCCCACTTCTTCCAGGCTTTCCTCTGGCATCCTATGCGAACAGATTATCTGAGACATTGCAGTGTCCCCAGTACATCCTCAAAAAGAGGACTGGAAAAAATAAGGCCTCCTTCATGCAGTGCAGCTCTGTTTTCAGAAAGCATTTATTGTCCCAAGCACTGAAACCACTCGCTGCCAATTACCACCATCTTGCTGTGCCTGCTGGACACCTGTGGCTGATCTCAGAGACAGTAAGAAAAGATGGGCAATCTCACTGCTCTGAATGAGGGCATAAGCATTCAGGCCATAACCCTGCTTGTCTGATGTGCTCTTAAGCACTGGTGATTTCCTTAACTAGGTCCCACAAAGAAATTAGAAACAATGTCTGATGGTTAATAGGGACAGCAACTTTGCCCACAGATTGGCTGAATCCATTCAGAGCCCACACAACATCCCTCCCGTGGTGTCACACTCCCACACAGACATGCACCTTCGTTTTTTTTCCCCTTGTGCTTTTTAATAAAAGAAGTACTGTTGCCAGCCAATTCCTTGACTCTGCCAAGCAACCCAAGAATGATCCCAGCCATTAAGTTCTTAGAGCCATTTACGATCACAATAGCAACTGGACCATTTACTACACCAAAAATAAAACCAAAAAATTCTAAGGTATTTCAAAATCTGGTGAGCCATTCAAAGTTGTTTGACTTTATTTTCTTCTAATAAACATATAAATCACAAGCAGTTCTGCAGGGCAAGATGCTAAATGTTAGTTATTGATGAAGGCGCTCCTAGAATATTTCACTAATGGCTCTGGCTTGATGAATACATGTAAAAAGAAAGATCTTATCGATTTTACTTAAAAACATTTTAGAAGTGCTCAGCAGGCTGGCAGCAGAAAAATAATATGAAGCACACAGAAAAACTAGCATTTAAAGCAGGAAGAAAGAGACCCAGCCCAGCAGGGACATTAGGAGGAGATAAATGACAAAGCCATTGTCAGTATCATTGAAGCAGCACCAGCACTGGCAGCAGAGACAAGGCCAGACTAAAGGAGCATAATGCCACGGATTAAAGATCACGAATCCAAACTCAAGAGGGAAAACATTTATGTCAAAATGAGGATATATATATATATATATACATATATATATATATATATTTATTTTTTTTTTTTGAAACAGGATTTTCTCCATGAACAATGCTCATTAAAATGACACAAATCCTCAAGTCTGCATCACTGAAGTACTTCAGTAGTAAATCACAGAGACGTGGATATTTTATGGCCAGAACAGCATATGATTCCTAACTAACCTTTGTACATGAAGTACTCTCAGCTGGGCATTTGGTACTAAACCAACTTTTCCTACAGAAAAACCTGTATCTGCACTTTTCCTCTCACTTTAAATAGCCCTTAATCGAACTTCAGACATAAGGATCGTCAGTAAACAAGATCCATGACTTCCTTCTGGGAAAGCTCAAGTCTTCAGTTCCTAAGGCTGATATCTCAGGGACGTGCATCTTAATAAGGAGTTAAAATGGGAGAATATTTCCCTAGGTTCCCATGGGAACACAACACTTTCAGATCTGGAAAGTTTCAAGATATGGGGTTATACACTCATTAAAACACATCTTTAAAAAAAAAGCTATTTGTTTAATTTTCAGTGGCCTCCTGGCTGCTATTCATTGGGCCTAATCACTTGAAAGTCACTAAAGGATAGAGTTACTCAGGAAAGAGCACACTTGTGAGGTTGAGGACCCAGGAAAGATAATAGGAAAAATCTCAACTGTTTAGGGCCAGAACAGGCGTGATACTCACCTGTGGTCACAAAATAAGCTGTTACTACATTACTTGCTCATTGTTTTATGCCACTGTCTAAAGACAGCTATCTTACATCTGACGTCACACTGCATGCTATCTGGCCAACCAAGCATAACCTCTAGTCAAGCTGTAAGTGAAATAGCTTCCATAGCATAACAGAATTCACCTGGAAACAAACTGTTTATTAATTCGATACAAAACTCTAAGCACTTGTTTCTTGAAAACAATTTTTCTTCTCTGTTTCTACCCAAAGTACCAAAAAGAATCCCTAGAAGAAACACCCAGAATCGCCCTGCTGTCTTAGTACAACTCTTCTTCCATTTCTTATACACAGATTTTTTTTTTAATAACAGTTACTTCACCTGCATTCTACATTAAGCATGGTGCTGCTTTGGTGCTCTAATATTGTGATGTGCGTGCAGCATTTGCAAAGCTTCCCTTAAGTTCTTTATAAGAATACATAAAAGAAAACAGTTTACTGAGCAACAGAAGATAAGCTCTATCCTCCTCCAAAAACAATCAAAAGAGGGCTTCATTAATCTTGCAGAGACTTGAGTTCCTTATTTTATAGCAAGCAAATAAAAACTACAGTTGTCTCGAAAGCTATCTTGCAATAAAAACTTCAGGATATTTACTTCTTTTCTGAAGTTGAAAGCAAAGTTTGAACTTCATTTCACATAACACCAGTACAAAGAGAAAGCTGCACTATGTAAGGTGCAGAGATAGAAAATCCACACACTGTATTCTACAACTGGGACTAAAATGTCATTTCTTTCATACAAGGGAGGTAATTAGCTATTGAGACAACTTACCACAGAAAGCAGCAAGGTGAGTAACAGAGTCATTAAATCAAAGTTTCACATCTGTGAAAGATACACCCACAAGATCTAACCTGTGTTGCCTTCCCATCATTCAGTCACTACAGTAAGAGAACCAAGTAGCTGTATTCCAGAACCAAAAACCGACATTGATAGTGTAGGAGTTTTGCAAAGCCTCAGCGGACCACCTGGCCAGCAAACAGCATGGAACTGCAGCCACTCCACTCCTCGTTTGGCAATTCGGATATTCACATGTCACAATGAACAAAAGGAATAGTTTTAACAAGAGGAAAGTAGATGTGCTAATAGATTGCTGAATGGGGACGAATATGAAAGTCCTGTTTGGACAGTCTGGTACACAGTCAGAAAGAATCCATGTGCTTTTCAGCACCAGCAGCCCTGACTCTTTGTCATTCTGCAAACCTCTAGAGAAGCAGTGCTGAGAAATTATCATTGCAGTCAAATTCTGTTGAATATGCGAACTGCTGAACAGGCACTCAGTGCCCCAGCAAACTAAAATGGTTTCAGCAAAGACTCTCCATGTTGGACCCTGCTGCTGCCCACACGGCTTTGAGTTCCACTGCAGAATTCAACTCCCAAAGCTCTATAAAAGGCAAAGCAGTTGACTAGACTTGAAATGACAGATCACCAACAGATACCATTAGGATGTCACACCAGAATAGGATATGTACACCTGTAATGATGAATGCACCTTCCAGAGCACTAGTTACATAACAATTACCTTTACAGACCCTTTGAATTTATAAACTATTCACTTACAATGCCTTTTCAGACCTCACACAAGCATTTAGGTTTAATGCATTCTGGATAACATTTGACTGAAAGAACAATCTGCATAGCAAAAACTACAGTAAAGTGGGCATTTTCCAAAATGGATTTCAAGAAAAAAAATTGCCACTCTGTATTCATATAGCCTTGCAGCTATGAAAGTCCTGTCACTATGGCACTTCAGTGTTTGGAAGCATCTGTCAAGGAAAAAAAGGATTTTTCTCTGGAACACATTCAGTAAATCCTAAGGTTTGTAATTTTTTATTGAAAAATTAGTAACAACAGCTGTAGGGCAGCCTATCAGTTCTTTAAAAGTTTATGCAGACTTGAAGTCAGCGGCAGAACAATTTACAGTATGTAATGAGAGAAATAAACAGATCATGGAGCAGCAGGCACTGGATGCTTTCAGTGCATCTTCTAGCTCCAGAAAACAAAAGAACCATTTGTCTTGGACTGCATTTTGTCACCCTCCCAACACAGACCTGTAAATTTATACAAGAGGCAAGACAATCCCAATCCAATCTAAAAACGTCTCAATCATTCAGTCTTTTTCGTTGACCCAACTTATCACTTATCTTCACGGCTCACAGCAGTTTCTCCAGGAAGCTCTGTCTTAAATTTTTTATGAGATTGCTCTCCTGGGAAAAGAGACATGCAATGCTCTAAGGATCGTGCAATTTCATCAATTGTCCATCTGTCTTCATGAAGCGCGTGCTCCTCCAGCGTAAAGGGTCCATGTTTGGTTCGGGTCAGTTCCTGTATACTGGCACAGGTTGAAAGTTCTACAGTACAGGAGAAACAAGAATTTACAAGAAATGCACGGTCAAATTAACTCACTTATTTTGCTATACGTAGCCTGCATTGCTCTGCTTACTTTGAAATGAACATTCATCGCTCATTTACATCTTCGTAAGTCTGAGGAATTCCTTTGATTTCAGTAGACCTTCAGTGCAGTAAGAGTTCAAAATCTGACAAAGTTGTCAGGAAGTTTTCCAGATTTAAATCAGAAAGAAAAATAATGACAAAATAAATGCAGAGGACCATGTGCTGATCTTCCTTGTACTTAGAGGCCTTCGCATTTTTGCCTTCAAGAAGAATTCTGGGATTCTTATCCCTGTGATGCTCTCCAACATAATATAAACTAAGATATGGAAACATTTGAAATTTAAACAGATCTTCTGATGGGTTAAATACACATAGGACATAATTACATAAAGAGGAGTAACCAAAGATAAGAGCAACTGGAGCTGACTCCTCAGTATAAAGGTGTACTAAAATATTCCTGACCACCCTGTCAGAGGGCAGCAGGATTTTTCCTGCATTTCATAGTTTGAAAAAGAGCCAGCCGGGAAGAGATTTTTACCTTGGTGTGTTTTTTAAGTGACTAAACTCAATCCACTGTACACAGGAGGCTACAGCAGGAGAATCTTTGACTTGCCTAAGCACGAGCAGCAACACTGAAATTCACAGGATACTCTCACATCGCTTGTTTTTTTGGTCTGCAAATGTATCACTTAATAAAAAAAATACTCAAATAGACTATCTGTTCTCCATCACACAGCTTGATAAATATAGGATGCAAGACAAATAATCCTGTGGGAAAGCAACATCATTCGCAGTAGAAGGGAAGGAAAAAGAAAATACTGGAGAAATAATCACAAGTGAAGAAGACTTTCCAGCAGACAGGGCTTATTATGTGCATGGTAATGTTCTGTGCAATCTGTTTTCAAAATGTGATGAATAATGTTTAAAAAGGCAGAATCTTTCTTCTGCTTCTTCTCACCCTTAATCTGAGTTAGCTTTAACATATGGAGGAGAGGGGAAAAAAAAATTCCCACCTTGCCTTGCATTTTCTTTCTCAGTGCTATTCCTCACTCCATTTTTATCCCCACAGCCCCCAGAGCTCTTGAGCAATTATTTAGGCTTCATTCCTTCATGCTCCTAATGAACATACTCTAGTACTTAAAAGCAAGTGATAGCAACACTTTGTTGCTAAGTTTGGTGGCTGGACACCAAAAAAAAATGGCAAGAGTTTTCTATAAGCAGACAGGTTACTTCTGAAAGCCATCACTTTCTTTATCTCCTCATACCCACCTTTGCCAATGTCACTGACCAGGCTCCTGACATAAAAGCCGCCGCCACATTCAACATCTGGAACATTAATGGTGACATGGTAAATTGCCAGCAGAATGTGAAATCCGCTTCACATAGAGACCGTGCTCCCAAACAAATGTAAAAATGCACTGAGCAAACAACCCAGTGATAAAATATTTATAGGATGCAACATCAATTATTCATCCTGTAACATATGTGCGGGTGAGATTGCTAAGCCAGACAGGAGGGAAGGCAACTACAATGGCAACTGAACTAACTCGCTAGAAATTAAGTACTTGCTATGGTATGTTAAAAATGCTTCAGTTCTATTCATTTCTAAGGTTTCAGAAGGTCATTTCATATTTCTAATAATGAAACCAAGTTATTTCAGGAATAACCTAAAATAGCTATCAATGCTTTTAAGATACTGCACTTGGGCAGCTCCAATGAAAGCTGCTGACATTTCAAAATTCCCCTTTAACTTCCCCTGCTGCTAGTGATCAGCATCTGGTCACCCAAACAGAAAGTAAGGCCTGAAGTAACACAGCACTGAGATCTGTCACTCGTATCAGCTCACCATATACAATCTGGTCCAATTGTGGGTCAACCAGGTAGTACCTCAATGCAAACGATTATCCAGACCTCAGAGTAGCATAAAACATTTACAACAGGATCTTTGATTTATTAATGTGCTTCCTAATGTATGACAGAAGAAAGGGTAAGATCCCGCCAATGCAAACTAGAAAAAGCCCTGACAGTAGTTGATACTGGACTGTCAATTGCTCTGGGCATCAAGGCAAAAGAATGGATCAGGTGAAGTAAGCAGACCTGAGAAAGGAGGAGTGAGCTGGAGGTTGCAAAATCATGGACAGATGCAAATAATCTGCTGACCAGCCTCTCAGAATTTTCCCTCACAGAAAGATTACAAATAATCAGCTTAACTTAAAACCAAAATATGGTGCTTTTACTGCAAAGTGAAAGTCTTTGCACACAGGCTCACACCAAAATAAGTAGATGAGGGAAACGAAACCCATTTCAATATCTCACTGCCATTCTGAGCGTAAATAAGCACTAACAAACAAGCTGGTAGCATCACCCTATGTAATAATCTTTGGTTTTTACCCAGTGTGAACAGTGGTGGCTGGAACTGTTGGAGAGACAGGCTGTACACTCTTACTGGCCGAGCAGGCTTTGCTTCTACTGCTTCTCCTCTCTTCATTAGAGTTGATAGCCTTTCTCCACCCTTCTTCAAGGCAGAATAGCTGATCAAATGGAGCACGAAAAACATATCACCCGGTTATAAAAGAACAAGCTTCCCCTCCTGTTAATATTGTACCACAACAGCATACACTCACTCTTCTAATCCTTTCTACACAGAAACATAAAACCTAGCAAGTACTTCTGAAATCTCTTGGACACAAAATAATCCCATTCACCAGTGGTTAGGTACCCTGGAAAACAAGAGATAGCCCTCAAATTACCTCTTGTTGCTTAGATTTGAGTGTTTCATCACTCAGCTTACAGTTTATGCAAGCAAAGAGTTGCTGTAAGAAATACAATGCTTGCAGCTGCCTCTAGCATTTCGTCACTCAGAAGTCTACAGGACATGCTGCTTCAGTGCTGTGTTAGGGTGAGCACTGGGTATTGCTCAGGCAACACCTGTAATTCTGCCTTTCAACTTTACTCAGACTAGGGTCTTCCCTGAACAGCATCTGTCAGGTTATGTAGCCTTGTTTCAGGGTGTTTAGGACAAAAGCTTAATCCACTAATTTCACTCATAATGTTAAATTTTATCTAAAGCTCCCACTTTGGCCCTGACAGAAAGACAGCTAAAACAACAATCAAAAATGATCTTGCTCAAATTACTGGAAGGTAATTTGAAAAGGTCACACAAACAGAACACCTACTGAATTACTGACCTTACAAGGCTCACAGTGGAGCCACAGTAACCAAGCCAATGCAAATGCAGAGGAAAGCACATTAGTTTAAATCACCATGAAAGCCATCTGTCACAAGCTAAGCACTTGCATACTGCCAGTTACCATGGCTCACCTGACTAGACGAAAACTGTAAAGCTAAGGAAGTTTAAATCACTAACAATTTATTCCTACTGTAAGTATTCAGAAAAGTAATTTGAAGACATTTAAAGAACTTCCAAGCTGATGTTAGTAAGCCTCTCCCTACTCTGTAGCTGAAATTAAATTCTTGAGGCTTTCTCTTCTAAATGGAAGACAGGACAGAATCCCCCCTAGTCCTGTAAGACCTGCTTAAGACTGCTACTCTACTTTAATCAACAAAACAGACTCCAGGTTGTCATTTGAGATGGATGTTCAAAGCAGCATGACCCGCAGTTGCAAATGTTAAACTTGTAAGTCTACAATGTCTCTACTTTCTTACCAGAACATCTCTACTTCTGCCATAACCAAGTCCTGTTGGCAAGTCCCAACAGCTGAGAGTTCAGAATGTTGTGGAACTTACAGTGGAGGAACCTGCATTATGTCCCCTGTGAACTTCTGCAGCACATTCTCAAGATCTCTTTTTGTTACTTGGTCTGTCAAAAGAAAAAAAAAGTGTTAAGAATGGTTATTCACATTGCACTAATGGCACCAATCTTGTCTGAATTTAGATTGGATGAACAATGCCAAAGAAAGATAAACAGAATGTAAGTAGGAGTGTGAATTAGTACGACAAGATGGAACAAACAGTCCAGGCTGATTAAGACAGTCTGGACACATTCAGAAGGGCAGAAATCTCTACATACATAGTTCTGCTATGCAATTTCTCTCTATCAGGACTAACAACTAATTTTTCTTGGGAACTACACAAAAATTACAAATCTTGTGCTATTCTAACCCTTGCTAAAGTTCTGAGAAGAATAAAATGCTCATCTGGCCTTGGCAACTTCTCTTAAAGAGTGCCTAAGCACAAGGAAAAAATACAACAGGTTACTGGAGAACAAAAGCATTGCACTTTTTTTTCCCCAGCAAAGCAAAAGATTTCACCTGGAACAATACATTAAATTCCTCTATCAAACATCTAACTCGTAGATGCTCACAAAGGTATTGTCACATACAATTAAGTCAGCTGCACTGAAGATATCCTGTAAGAGAAAGCAAGGACTTTTAGAAATTTGCTCTCTCAGTGGTACACATACACACCTGCCCCACCTTTATGGGAAGGCTACAATTGAAGTAAAGTAGCTGGTTGCATCAGTCCTCTGAAACGCTATTCAGTAGAGATGACATCAACCCCTAATTTGTTTAGAAAGTATTTGTACTTTTGTACATTGCTTTTGGACATGAGATCTGTAATAAAAATGCACTTCAGTAAATATTTTGTCCTCTGCCTCATAAGTTATATTTTATTAGTATCACCCTAAGCCAACAGCACCCTATCATATAAATGAAATTAACTTGCTCTGGAGGAGAGCTGCACTTGCAGCCCTTACAAAACTGATGCCCTTCATGTTGAAAATGAGAAGGAAGAGGTTTCTTTCCCACAAATTTTTGAAGATGGCAATGCAGCACCTCCTTTCCACAATGCACATTTTGCAGCCTTGGGAGCACCTGCTGTCCCTAAGCAGCATCACCGTCTCCAGAAGGGTTTTTAACAGTAAGTCTGCAAGGCACACAGGTCAGCCAGGGATGCTGAGAGAGAACAACGCACAACGGAACGTGGAGCAGAAATGACAGAATTGCTTGCACATTAAGTCTGGATCTTCTTCTGAAGGGCCTCTTACACCATCAGTTCAATCTGATTGCATTACTGAAGTTTAGCAATGTATCACAACAAAGACACAGAGAAAAGTTAGCTTGACTCAACTTGATGCATGTCATCCTGTCAGCCTTCTTGCAAACTCCACACTGTTTTAGGCTAGACTTTAATGTCTAAGGAAAAAGAAATCCCCATGTGAGGAATGACGTATAAAGCCACTTACAAAGCTGTGCAAACTAAATATTTATAGATGAGCTTGTTGAGATATAGAATAAGTCACGTTTGTTTTCTGTAATACATCATGGCTCAAGGTGGTCAGAATTCAACTCTGAAAACGTTTTATTTTTTCTACTCCAGCATGCCTTGCCTTTGTGCTAAGGGCTGTGCTGGATTCTTGCTCTTCCCTACAGCAAGTTGGTATAGTTTTTACCCAGCAATCTGACACCAATGAATACCCCATTAATCCAGATCCAAACAAACAGTTGCACTGTGTCTAAACTGGTATAAATTGTGCGTTTACAGGCATCAGTCTGGACTCATGGCTAAGGAGAGCACAGAAATACACTGCAAACCAGTTCCTTTACTGTCTTCCAACTCCCACTCTCCTTGAATCCACCATACAGGTAGGAGGGAATTCACTCCTGCTCAGCAGAAATATCTCCCTTCCGGCCCTGTGCCCCCAGCTCTCCCTTCCCTAGCCTCAGGCTTGAGTTTAGCAGGTTAACAGCTCCTCTCTGCAGCAAGTTCAGAGCAACATTGACTCAGCCCTCTGTTACGCATGGAATATAAGCACATCCATAAAGAATGAATAGTTTCCACAGTTCCTAAGGTTTCTCTCCTGTGTGACTTCCCTTCTCCACTCTCTGAGAGCAAGGGGTAGAGAGGTTTCTCCAGTACTTACCTGGCACAGATCCCAATCATTCCTGCTACCAAGAATAAGCTCATCCTCCCCACTACCCTGATTGCAAATGCCAAATATCCTTATCTGCCACATCCCAGAACACAAGATTTGCTGGAAGCTGGATTGAAGTAGCAGCAATCTGCCCTTCCAGAGGAGGTTAAGGGACTGCTGCCCTGATTCAGGACTAAGTTTGTCCCACAGGACAACTGCACCCCATCCCCAAGAGTAATGACAGCCCTAGCTTCAAACAAAACAACTACAGATGCTCTGTGTGAGCACTATTTGAAACACATTTAATTCATCCCTATTTTCTAAATTTCTTCCTAAATCTCTCACACCAACAGTGGGGCTACATGTGTCTGCACCAACTGTTTCTTCCACTGGAACATCCCCTGTGATTCTACCAGCACCCAAAACTCCTCCAATATCCTAAAAACATCCAGAATGCTTTGGCTCCTAAAATGAAAATTTTCAAGAACAGTGCTTTTGAGTGCTGATGACTGCAGAAATATTTTCCTGTTGTAAACACACAGAAAGCTGTAGAAGTTACCAAACCAAGAGGTGACACAGCCTCAAGAAGCCCCCACTGCAGGGCGATCTCGCCCTGTGCTTGCTAACAAACCCTACTGAAGAAGAACACAAGGCCAGAAGAATTAGCCACAACCATCCAAGGAAACTACAGCATCTGGCCTCAGTTCAATCTGGCAGCAACTAATTGCAAACAGTCAAGCAAAATGCTGAAAAGACAGCATTTTAAAGTTTGGGTAGCATAACCAGCAGAAACGTGGAGAAAACCCTGAGGAGTTCTGTTCCCCAAATTTGGATATAGTCTGTGAGCAGCTGGGAGGAAGCAAGTTTCAGAATGAACATTCCTGTTTGTAGTTACAGAAAGGCTACAAACGCTAGAGTTCCTCGGAAAGTATCAGAGAAACACTGAACCCTTTGCTGCTTCCAAAGTCAGCAACTGAGCCTGGGAGCAGCATGAAGCCTTAAGTAAATCTCATGTGATAATACAAGTTCTCTCTCTGCTAAAAAGGCAAACAAAAACTATCAGAAGTCCAGGAGAGATTAAGCCCAAGCAGTTCTCTCCTACACATTCTTCACTGTGATCAACTTAGCACACAACAGTTAGCTATCCAAAGCACTGCCTAGAATCACCTTGAGGACTCTAATCTGACACTTAATCATGGGAGGCAACTTTCTTCAGGCACTTTATTCTTTGGGTCCAGTGGAGTCATTCCAGAGGAGGTAGACACATCCTGCAGGCTGTTTTACTGCCCTCTCCTGCTCCAGGTCCCAGCCCCGCATTCTGTTGGCACTGCAGAGTCTGCATTCCCTAGCAGATGCTCAGCATCTCCCAAGATCCATCTAGATGTCAAGAAATGCTGAAAATTGTCTCAAATGTCTTTTGTGTATGCTCCTGGAGTAGCAATTAAGATCAGGGGTGAGTGAGTCACCCAGAAAGCCAAGCTGCTTTGAGAAAGCACTGGAGAAATACCTGCTTTATTTGAAGGTAAGGAAGGAAGGAAAGATAAAATACATAGGTAGCACGGAGAAAAAGGAGTATGCATGTTCTTTAATCCTTCTTCAGGAAGAATTGGAATCTAATTTGAATGAGGAATGCAACAGACCAATTTCATAAGCATTCCGTCCTGCAAAAGCCATGTCCCCCACCCAGTACTGAATTGCCCAGCCAGTGCCAATACTTTTATGAAAGCGCATTTTGAGCTTCTCTGTGGGATTGATAGCATTTTATTTTTTTTAATTGACAATGGGGGCTTCATCCACTTGAAAAGTTAATCCACAGTTTCTTTGCGAGCATTCTACAATGAATACTCATTGCAGCAGAGCTACAGCATCCCACTTTGAGTTAGAAAATACCAGGGAAGCATTTACCAGTCATCACCAAATGTTGGCAATTAGAAATTCTCAATACCAAGCTGGCATTCAGTTCTTTAGAAGCTCAGAAAGAAATTCAGTCCTGAGACAAAAGCAAATGATTCAACATCTCTAAATAGCACTGCCTAGCAAATAATGCAATTTGGATTGATTCATGGGGTTTAAGTTGGACAACAAAATCATGCTTGTATGCATTGTGTAAAAAGAAGGACAATAGAAGAAAGGATATAGGGGTTGAGGAATGGAAAACAAGCCCCCTTTTTCATCATGTTTATGTATTCCTTATGTATTCTATTCCTCAACCCTTAAACCCTTGCTCTGTAGGTCAGAAAATCTCATATATTAAAGTTGCTAGGACACAGACTGCAAGCAAGGGCAAGATTTGGTAGGTAAACATATGTAGAGGGAAGCTTATGCCATCCTGCCATCCTCACTTTATGTCACAAAGTCTGTAGTTAAACAGCCATCCTGGAGGGAAGATGTGGGTACTTTATTCATCTACTGGCTGTGAAGGGCGTTACTAAAAGAGGACTCACGAGACTACATGCTGAAAGAGGAAAGTTTTACTGGACACAGCATGCCATTTGTCAGCCTTCTCAAGATTTAAAATGATACAGTCCTGCTCAATTCTATTTTCTCCCTCTTAATCTATTGCCTGTACTGTTTTCTTTCCCCTCAACAGAAATGAACACACACTGGACATAATTGCATGAAGCTGGACTAAATTAGATGAGCACTGAAGTTGAAGATGAAATAATTCTAGTTTGATTTCACATTTAAATTTAATTCACAGAGCCCCAAACATCTCTTCCACTTTTCTATGACATAGTCCGCTTATGCCTTCAAATAACATCAAGCATATCAATTTGTTTGTCATTACCATAAGGCTTTTCTTCAGTTACTTTTCCTGTAGCATCTAATGTATCAGTAGCTCTGCCCAGTAGTCCAATGGCAGTGTACTTCTGGGAAAGAAAAAAAAAAACAATCAGATTTTCAACTTCTTCTTTGGTGGTTTGGTTTTTTTTTTTTCTTTTTTTCTTTTTTTTAAATGCCTGCAAAACAGTAAATACTTCAGATGAGGCCAGGAAGAATTATATCTTTGGGTAACCAAAAGTAAAGATAAGAGGGAACTCAAAAGAAATTAAACACTGCATTACGTAGGCCTATGACTTCAGTTTTAGAAAGCCAAGGAAGAAGCAAGTGATCTGATTTCTTCCTATGAATACATCATAGAGAAAGTTACAGCATGCTAAAATCCAAAGTCTCTGTAAGGTATCCTATGTCACTATTTAAGCAAGCCAAGAAGAGTACCTTTCACGCACAATTCTTCTGTTCTTTCACAATCTTGTTTGTTTCTATGGTACACAGAGAATTTTTCTACTAAAAGCAAAACAACACCACTTCCAAGGTTCCAAGACACAGCATTACAACAGTTCAGCTGAAGATGTAGTGATACACAATAGCCTAAAGCTAGAGGAGCTGTGAACACCTGAACACGGTAAGGACATCGTGCCTAGCACACGGCGACTGAGGCCACTGATAGGCATCTGTTTGTCATTGCTTCACACAATATTGCAATTTCAGGGATTTTTCTTAAGCCTAAATCTTTATCTTGAATGTGTATTTGTAACTTGCAAGCATTCAAACCTGTTCCCACGCCAGCAGCTCCAGTCCTCATTGCCACATTTTCCCCATAAGTACTGCCAGGCAGAACCTGAAGAAGCTGGCAGAAGAGCCAGCTGCCCCCTGGCTTTCACAGGGCAGCTGAGCCACAAAGACTCACTCGCCCTATATCAAGCATTTCCATGGTCCAGGGGAAAATAAATAAATAAACAAATCAAGGTGTTCCACCAGCCTAACTCCCAGGAAGGCTTCTAATAACTTACCACAGCTGAGCTAGTAACAATTTGAGCTAAGTCACAAAAAAGACACCTTCCAGAACCTGGTTGACCAAATTCTACTGGAATACATCCAGACAGGTAGAAGCACTAACATACCACAATCGGATGCAATTCACCCTTTTAAGTATCCTTGCAAAGAACCAACAAGTTCAAGTAGTAACAGTGATTCATATTCCTACACACCTACAGAATGGGACTACTAAGACACGTCGTGATTTTGTTCTGTGTGACAACCTGCCACTTGAATGTATTTCTTTAAGCGACTGCCAGTAAATGGAAGCAGCAGAAATAGACGAGAGGCAGCGGACTGCAAACTTCACCATAAAAATAGCTGTAGCCTTAACATGGTAAGCAAAGTACACTTTTTTCTAAACACTAAGATGCCCAAATCACCAGAAAATTGCAAAATCAGGCATTCAGATATCTACCTGCAATTTGTCATGTTTACTTCTGGAAAGTATGGAAAAGAAAAAGTGGATGAAGGCTCGAAGGCCACTCCACAATAAACAACTTAACAGTACATCATCTGCTTTTAGGACCATAAAACTGCTTGCACTCTGAGACATTTAATGATCTAGTTCTTAACTTTAATAGCACAGTTAGAAAGAGACACCATTCAGCAGTTATTTCTAGAGGTTAATAAAAAATGTGAGAGGATCTTAACAATTATAGCACAATGAATGATCTGAGCAGTTCGGGGAAACTTAAAATCTGAAAACTTCATACCTCTTCTGATTAAACATCTCCAAATGGAAGCACTGATACTACTTCATTTTGAATGCACTTTTTCTTCCCAATTCTGTTTTAGGTCAGGCTGTCTGTTTTAATAATAAGCTTCACTTGACCTCCATGTAGCGGGCAGATAATACAGTATGTCTATATGAGAACACAAACAGTATGAACCATACAACCCAAAGCTCAACACTTGACTTGCCCTTTGGTTTCTGCAAAAAAAAGACAGAAAGCCATCCTTAAATGCCATCCAACAAAAAAAAAAAAAAAAAAAGAAACCTTAAAATTAGTTACAGATTGCCATTTCTTAGAGCAGCCTTCAAAGAGTTACAAAACACTCAAGTCAAAAATACAATAATCCACTAAGAATGGTAGAACAGGTCAGGAAATTAAGAATTAGAGATGGTTTGCATATCAGTCTCTGGAGTGTCCTTGGACATCTACAATTATACATCATAATTCTTACTGACCACTTAATAGGGTTTACTTCCCCTTTGTTAGTATCCAGGACCCAGACATTGTAGAAGGTAAGATGAGAGTCCACATTTAATCCATCATTCCTCTTATTTTGTATCTAAGTTCAGCATTCATTCTCCTTAGCCTCTAACTTGCACAGCCCCACAACTGCCCAATGGATTGAGCCACCCAGTAAGCGTTTGGTGACCTTTCCTCACTTGTGTTGACAGTCATTTATTTCTTCCAGATTTATAAAACATATCCAGTGAAATTCCTCCTGTACTCTCAAGTTATAAATCCCCACAGGAACACAACTGGCAACGGCTCACAACCACACTGACTTCAGCCCACTCAACCTGAAACAAAAAAACCAAGGTAGTAGATCTTGCAATTAGTGGAAAAGCCTCACAGATCCAGACTGCTACAGGAAACAACCCAGCCTCTGCAGCCACCAGAGCTCACTGCCAATGGATAGCCCCTATGTTTCTTCCCCTTGCTTATCTCAAGAGATCAAGACTGAAATCGTTTAAAGATCAAAACCAGCACCTCAGCTTCCCCTATAGGAAGCTACAGTACGCAAGCACGGCACATTAAAAGCTAAGATGAAGTGTTCCCACTCATATCCTGTATGCACTGTAGCATCATGCATTAATTTCAACTTCTAATGGTGTGCTCAGCTGTCCCCAAAGCCTCCCAACTGTTAGAACAATTCAGCCCTGAGGAGGTAAGACCTTCATACAGCATCATGCATTAGGGAATGGCTACAGATCTCTGCTGTCTATAAACCATTTTTGTTGATGTTATGGCAGCTGAAACAAGGGGCAAAGCGATCAGAAGCCTTCAACTATAAGGAACTCTTTATTCACATTAGTGAGAGACAATCTTAAGATGCTACAAAATGGCAAACACTGCCCTCGATGATGTAGCATGAAGAGTGTCCAGCAGACTGGGGGATACATATACAAATACATGGTGCATGCAACCCCAAGATGAGAAAGATGAGGATTGTGCTTTGGAAGCCACATGGCTGTTGCCACACCTGTGAGCAGAAGGACATGGCCAAAAACCAGTGCCTGAGAAAACAGGGTGACAGGAACCTTGAAGAAAGAAATGACAAATCCTCTACTAAACCTGAAAGATCACATGCAGAGAAGTTTCGTTTCAGCCACAACCAGTCGCTATCAGAATTCTCACAATCAATAAATACAATAACATCTTGCTAACAGAAGAGCTATCATTTGGCTTTTTGATTCCAAATCCAATTTAAGACAAATCCTGATAGTAGCCTGGAGAAGGAAAGTATGAACACAGCGAGAGAAAGGACAGGGCTTTACCAGTATGCACATTTAACCGAGAGAGGAACAAGAGGAGGAAAAGCCCTCTCCTGTTCAAGGGTTTCTGCAGCCACACAGCCCTGAAGGCCCTGGGCTGAGTGCCCGGCACGTCTGCCCCACTTATCGGCATGAATGCCAGACAGACATGGAACGGAACTTCTCCATTTTAATTGTTAATATATCAAAGAGCTTTTTTTTTTTTTTTTTTTTTTTTTTTTTCAAATTTTGGGAAAGAAGCCAGACAGTTGAAATCTTAAACTAAAACAAGTTTAAAAGCTTTTCTTCAACAGCAATGCTTTGGAGGAACAAGGCAGAAACACGGTTATGAAATAAGGTCACCAGTAGCTGTCAAGAAGATTTTAAGATGGCTCCCAATGCAGGAACTTCCCAGCAAGGCAAACTCCTGCAAAAGGCAGTTCAAAAGAGTTCATCCAAGGATGACCCATTTTCTAATCACAGCAACAACTGAACACAGAAGTGTAAAAGGAAAATAAATAAAGGCTCCGGCCCACGTGCAAGAGACTGGAAGCCAAGAAAGAGCGGCTAGAGCTGCTAGAAACAGAAAGTCAATTTATGCAAAGTGATGTCTGTGTGTGGCTGTCGTTGAAGGAACAACAACAAAAAAAAAAAAAAAAAAAAAAAAAAGCAACACAACAACAACAGTAAACCCAAGTGCTCCAGGGAACATGAATGAGACCAGGCAAGCACTGATTGCAAGTAGAGATTCAGTGTCTGCTCCATCCAACCTACAGGCCTGGTGCAAGCAGTGAACTGAGAGGCTTTCAACTCTCAGTTTTAATCAGACATCCAGTTTGTGTGGCATAATTTCTAAAGCACAACTACTGTGCTCTGAATTTAATAGTAGCATAATTTGTATTTGCTCTTCGTATAACATTTGAAGCTACCAATGGTTTCCAGTATGCTAACGCTCACCACAACAGAGTACATGAGATAGACAAATGCTGAAAGAAAAGAGGGTTGCCATAGTTTCAGTTATTTTCCAAAACAAAGCACTCTCACTAAGTAGATTTCAATATATTAAAAACAAAGAGCCCTAATCTCTTAAAAGCAGGTTGCACAGACGCAAAATTAAGGCTGCGGGATTAGGGAGGAGTTCGATATTTTAAGACAAAGCAAGTTCAAAATTAACGAACGCTAAACATGTCCTCTTCATATCCACAAACATAACAACTATTCCACCATCCATTTTCCTCCTAAAAAAAAAGCTGACTTTGTGCTAAGCCTGCACTAAATTTTATTTACTGCCAGAAGCTGTAATTGTACTGTCATTGCTGAAGAACTATCTGATCTTTACTCTCGGACTAACAGGATTTTCTGACCTCTTATGTCAGCTTATTTAAAGAGTTCAAGCGCACGGGGTGATGGGATTTTCAAAGTGAAGGAGCAGATCCACCAGTAGGAGGGGACCCAGAGGAGATGCTTTACCTGGAATTGAGAGAAGACAAAGTGGTAACTGAAGAGGCCAGCAAGTTTAAGTTCTGGTGTTAAAAGGAAGGGAAGAAAGTAGTGGGAGAAAAA